CTCCTAAGTGAGGCCCAGACCTCAGGACTCCTCCCTCCCCTTCGGGAGGCTGCTGGCTGGAAGTGCTGAACCCTCCGGCTCCCGGGACGGCTTTATTGACGGGTCCCTCTGCAGGACCAGCCACCGTGACAGCACTGGATGCTGCCTCTGGAAGGAGGGCGAGCTGGAAACCTTTGAGTCCCAACGGGTGTGGGGCTATGGGCACACCAGCAGCTGCCAGGCTGTGTGCTCACCTGAGGCCCTCACACCGCCCTGCTCCCTGCCTCTGGCAAGACACTCCCTGCTTGTGATCTCTGTGCTTAGCTTACATCCCATCCCAAACCAGACATTCTCGGGTCCTCTTTACCTCCACAGGGCAGTTAGTGATGGAGAAGATGCTTAAGGGCATTTTTTTATTATTTTTTATAAACAGTTCTCAAGGGCAGCGCTCAGACGTCTGCGGTGCTGCCCAGGCAACGCCAGGAGATGGCGGTGGTGGTGGGACACCCTGCGTCAGGCCACCGCGTGCCACGCCTGGGCCCGCTCCCCCCACGATCTCCCCTCCCTATTTGCTGTGTCTCTTTTCCCATGGTCCGTTTTTGTACTTATTTTGCATTTAACCTTTAAATTTTTCCAGTGTGTCACAAGGGACCTCCCAAGAGGCATGACTTGCCCCTGGGAAGCCTGTGTTGTGATTTGAAAACCTTTGTTTACATGCAGGTGACGTGTCCGAGCCCAGGGCCATGGGACAGCCTGTGAGATCTGCGCTGCTCAGGCAGAGGGGCCACCGGAGCACACACAGGCACCGGCACCCGCTTCCCCAGCCCCTGACCTGCCGAAGGCCTGGCCTAAGAGCATGCCCCTGGCCCAGCGAACGAGGCATCGTTTCTGGAATGTGGCGAGGACTGTGCCTCATTGACTTTCTTGCTGCCCCATCGGCAACAAGACTGAGAGCGACACTGAACCCACACGGCACACGGAGATGTGTGACCACGAGGTGACGGAGCAGCTGGGCGTCCTCCGCAGAGTCTTGTGCTCCTGAAGGCCATGGAGGAAGCCTCCCTCGCCTGTTCAATGACTCGCAAAATGTAGCCAATAAATTTCAAATACCAATGACCCTGAAAGTAAACAGGATGATCACGTCTAAAAATATGAATGATCTTCTCAGAAGTCAAATGTTTGCTGCACCAAGTAGTGTTTCATCTCAATAAAAATAAAGCAAGACCGAGGCCTACAATCCTACCACCAAATCCAACGATTCTTTAGGAGCAGGATTGGATGTCAGTTTAAGAGATGGAGACACCAGACCGTGAACTGAAGGTGCACGGAACTAGATGTGTGATGCGACTCCTCTTCCTTGACAACTCTCCCGTCTCCTGGGTCCTCCTCCTTCCGGACCGGGGCGGATAACCGGAAAACACATTGCTTGCTTCGAATAGGCTTCCACCGGCTACACATACCGTCCTGCTGAAGCCAGGGCTCCGGGTAGACGCGACCCCTTGATGCTTGAATGGGAATCTTCCAATACACAGCGCTTGAGGGTTCGGAGCGCGAGAAGGTGGAAGCGGCGGCAGCGAGGCCCCAGCTCTGGGCTGCCTCACCCCTAGAGGCTCCGAGTCCCCTTCCCGAAGAACATACTTAAGAGTCACTGGGCCCACTTCTCCCACAATCTCAGCCGGAGGTGACGTCTGAGCTCCACAATCCCATCCTCACGAAAACAAAACGCTGCAGTCGACTTGAGATCGTTTTTGCTCTGATTAAAATTTTTATTGAATTTTCTCAAATGTTACCAAGAAATAGTTTGGGGCGGGGGTGGGGTTGGGGGGGTGGGGAGGAAGGGGGGATGGCTAACAAGCCAGTTCAGCCTGGGAGCTCCCTCTGCTGGTCTGCAGTAGGCTGATACGTTACAAACACATTCCCAGAGACAAATCTAATTTGCTGGAGGAGTGGACAAAAGACAGGTGTGTTGGGCTTTGCCTCAGGACAGAAACACTAGAAGAAAAAAAAAAAAAAAATCCATGTCTCAAAACAGAGCACAACATTGCTGAGAAAAGCAAAATAATTTAAAGGCTTCTCCAAAGACACATAATAATAAATCTCCAAAATGAAACAGAATCATCAACCAAGGGGATGCTCCGTGTTGATCTCCCACTGATCTACCTCCAGGTCATCACAGCTCTCTCAGGCCCTTCGGTGAAGCTTAAGTTCTGCTGCCCTTGTCTTTGCCTTCGGGTCTCTTCTCACAGGCGTCTTATCTACTTAGAGGAGAGAGATCCAAGGAGCCCCCGGAGTGAGGCTTTTTAAAAATTCCATCAGAGAGTAAGCCTGGTGAGCCAGCACTGTGGCATGGAAAGGGCCAGGCCGGGAGTCATGTGACCTGGCTCTCGTCATGGCAGAGCCACTCGTGATTTTGGGGAACTCTCGGTCTTCTCCGGTCTGTTTCCTCAGCTGTAAAATGGTCAGACCAGCTGAGCTGGAAAGCCTCTGCCCGTTTGTTCTATGAAGCTCGTGTTGGACAAAGACATTTAAATGACCGTTATCTGTTCATGAGTCTTTACGATACAGAGCCCACGCTCGCACTGGGAATGACTCGGAACAAGAAGTGGGACTGAGCACAGGACATCTCTGGTGCCGGAGGAGAGTTCCACCACCCCTAGGGCCGCTGTGGCAGAGCCAAGGGGATTCCGGGTTGGGCAGGTCTCCAGGTCAAGGAAGAACTCATAGGGAAGGTGCCACCCGCGCAATACATCCTATGAAGTTAAAAGGGTTGAGTCCATCTAATGTTGGCGCCTCCTCTCCCATCCTTTCTCCCAATGGCCTGGGCTTTCTAATCTCTTATGGCTCTTGAGTGCCTTTTCTCACCACATCTCCAGGTACTATTTTTCATTTCATCTGTTACATGATGAAGGAAGGGCAGATGACCCAGATGCCATGGCCAAAAGCCAGTATTCCCAGTCCTTTCTGGCCACTGTCAATCCCTGCGTGTCCAGAGCAATGGTGACAAGCTTTGGTGCTGATTAACCAAAGCCACGGATATTCAGACGACCATGCGACCTTGGCACTATTTCATGGTATTTATTAACACTTGCCTCGGATGTCAACTGATCCGTTTTCTAGGCCAGTTGTTGGCAAACTCAGTCAACAGAGCCGAATATCAACAGTACAACGATTGAAATTTCTTTTGAGAGCCACATTTTTTTAAATTTAAACTTCTTCTAACTGGACTTCTTCAAAATAGACTTGCCCAGGCTGTGGTATTTTGTGGAAGAGCCACACTCAAGGGGACAAAGAGCTGCATGTGGCTCGAGAGCCACAGTTTGCCGACCATGGTTCTAGGCAATCTAGGAAGAGGAGAGCAGACACATCCGCAGATGGTAGGGGTGGGGTGCATGGGCACAAACAGAGGGGACACTTTTCCCGTCACTATAAGTGACCTCCAAGCCACTCTGAGCAGGATGATGACTCAGCAGAAGATAAGCACAGGTTTACGTTCTACCCCTCCTTCCTCTCCCTGCCATCTCCCGCTGACCAAGCACAGACATGGACAAAAGGTAGAAAGGCAGCAGAAAGCACAGCTAATCTAGAGAAGGGGAATGAGTCTCAGAATATCCTGTTACTTTATTTTCTGGACCAAATGCCACCTGCATTTTTCTTCAGTACTTTCTGCCTCCTCCTGCCAGCACAGAGGGTAACCACTGCCTAGACTCCCGGGCTGTCTCAGCTCGCCTGCACGAGGCCCGGGCAGCCGGTAGTCAGTGACTCAGGAAGCACTTAGAGCTTAGCTGACAGACGGAAGGACGGTCAACACGCCTGGCCCCACAGCCTGTGGGAACCTTTGCTGGGACTGCTTGTAGGGTCTGACACAATATGGTGAGTTCTGCACAACACAGAAGGGTTCAGTCGGAAGGAAGAGTATTCTGGGAAGCTGTTTATTCCAATCCAGCCTTGGAAATACACACTAAGCAAAACAGACGGACAAAAACCCCACCTGTCCAAGCCAACGTGTCTTAAAAAGCTAGGCCTTCTTGCTCTTAAGAGGAGTTATACTTGCAGTAGACAAGTGAAATCTGGATTCTCCTATCTTTCTTGCTACTGATCATCACCATGAGTCGTAATACTGATATTACTACTTGCACTAAAGGGGAGAGAAAGGATTGGTAGGTAGACAGTAATCTTTGTAAAAAAAACAAAAACAAAAACAAAAAAAACCCACAACAAAAACAAAACAAAAAACAGGCAATTTATAAATCTCAGGCTATTCTTAACTTAATAAAAAAATAAAATAAAATAAAAAGCTGGTCAGAGCAAAGGCCTCTACTTTGACCTGCCATTACATTCTTAGACACTATTTTGTACTTTCTTTTCTTCAGGATTTCCTGAAAATGGGAAAAAGAAACCCTTAATTTTTTCTGTAACATATTCCTGGAAGCTCCCAAGTTCCCCTTTGGACACTACCGTGTTTCCCCAAAAATAAGACCTAGCGCATGGAAAGATAAGACATCCCCTGAAAATAAGACCTAGCGCAACTTTGGGAGAAAAAATGAATATAAGACACTGTCTTATTTTCGGGGAAACAGGGTAGCTCTCAGAGAACAGGAGAGAAAAATCCCCCAGGACGCAGAAACACACGCAGACACGTAACGCCTACGACAAGCGCACACCTGCCCTGCGGCTCTTCCACATGACAAGGCACACGCACGTCTATGCTCTGGTGACGCCTCTAGCTGGCCGGGAGCTGGGGAGGTCACCTGGGCCCGGTCCCTTGTGGGTGACACGAGGGTGAGATCATTAAGGGAGAGAGAGGTGTTGTTTGGGCAGACATCAGGCAGTGGGTGATATCATTGCTGTCAGATGGTCCTCGTAAGTCCTGGAGGAGTGGCAGCTCGATTTAGAGGGGATCAGGAGTCTCTCAGAGGCGGATCTGTTAGCCGGTAGGTGTTAGTGGTACGGTGCTCTGGGAACCAGGTTGGAAAGGACCGGTGGAGGGGTGAGTGGAGTCGTGGCCGATGGGTATAAATTACCTGGGCATGCAGTGAAGCGGGATAGGTGAAAGCAGGAGGAGGTAGAGCAGGCGCTAACTCCGCTGGGTACAGAGGGTACGGGGCCCACACTTCAGGGCTACTGGGGTAAAGTGCAGGCACTGTGAGCTCATCTGCAAGAAAAGAATAAGGGGAGAGTTAGTGGTTACCACACAGCTGGTTTCGAATCAGAACAAAACACCCCATATCCCAGAGCCCCAACACATGTCCGAGGTCAAATGACTCTCATTCTTTCAATAACCTGCTGGCTTTGGCCTGCGAACCCTGAGCCAGGGAAGGGGAGACACACAGCGAGAGAGAGCAACACGCAACGGCCAGGTGCCTGCTGCGAGGCACTGCCTGGGGCGCTCGGATGTCCTTCCAGCCGGAGCTGGGGACCCGGAGCAGCGGGGATTTCCTGGACAGACAGTGACTGCGGTCCTCTCCGGGAAGGAGGAAGAGGAAGAACCAGTAGGAGACATCTCCTGAAAACCGCTGCGAGCCTCTGGGAGAACAACAGCTTCCTGGCACGACCCCAGAAGCCTGGAGGAACTGAGGGACTTGTCTGCTTATCAGTATAATGAACAGACAAATAAATTGTGTTCACCAGGCATTTCACATTTGGCGCTCAGAAGCGCAGGACCACATGTTGTACCTACACAGCGTTTAAGTTGTTAAAAAAAAAAAAAAAAAATCTCAGAGAAGGGAAGTGGAAGCCTCGAGTATCCTGATGAAGTTAAGCTCCGCAAAGATGCAAATAGGAACACTCACAAATGCCATTGACACCAACTCTATTTTCCAGGGGGAAAGTGAGTCAAGCTGCACCTGACTGGTCTAAACCATCCTCGTGCAGCTGATGCCGCTCGGGCCAAGCTGCAGTTCTCCAGGCCGAAGGGTCAGTGCCTGGGCCTCAGACTGCGCCATGAGCAGCCCATTACAGTAACAGCAGGCACCTGAGGGAGCGCCGGGCGGAGGCAGAAGGCACATCCGTCAATAGTGATCAATCTGGACCCCGTGAAGCAGCAACCTCAACGTGTGCTTTTACCGCCTGTCAAACGGGAACTGAAGTAGGTCAAGGATGCTGCCCAGACCTGCTCAGGGAAAGGTGGCTGATGAAGCTACCAGCGACCCCACCATCAGCACTTTCCAGGTCTGCCATGCCTGTGATCCAAGGAGAAGAGTCACTGCCCATCCCAGGTCTCCCTCTTCCTCGCTGCCCCCAAACCCTGGCTCTGAGCAGGGTTTTCAGTACGGGAAGGGGCTAGAAACCAAACTGCTTGCTGAGTGTGAGCTGGTGACGGCTCTATGGAGCCGCCAGAAGGCAGCTGAGCCTGTGGGTGCATGTGCACCCGGTGGGTGGGAGGTGGGCAAGGCTTTCCACCGCCAGCCACATGGCCGGGGCTTCTGCCAGGACGAAGGAGCCCAGAGCTGGCATGCCTGTCCATTCAGAGGGCAGCCTGGGGATCCCAACACTCTGTGCCCTACAGGGGGGCTGGCCGGCTGGCTTCCCCACTTCCTCTCCCCGACACCCTCCTCGGGCTTCGTGATGGGAACACGACTACCTGTGTCCAGGCTGGAGGCCTAGGCCCAGAGGGTGGAGTGACTGTTGTTACTGAGGGAGACAAAGAGGAGCGTCACAGCCACTTGAAGATGATCAGGTGGCCGAAACCCAGTTTGGCTCAGTGGATAGAGCGTCAGCCTGCGGACTGAAGGGTCCCAGGTTCGATTCCGGTCAAGGGCATGTACCTCGGTTGCGGGCACATCCCCAGTGGGGGGTGTGCAGGAGGCAGCTGATCGATGATTCTCTCTCATCGATGTTTCTAACTCTCTATCCCTCTCTCTTCCTCTCTGTAAAATATCAATAAAATATATTAAAAAAAAAAAAAGAAAAGAAAAGATCAGGTGGACACCACCAGTTCCCGGGCGCAGGTGAGCATAGTTTCTGTAGGGAGATTCCTCTGTAAGAGGGGGCGGTCTGAGGGAATGCCACCAGACCTCCTTTCCTGTCTCGAGGAGACCACACGAGTCCCACTGGAGCCGCCCCCAGGCGAGCCCTGCTGCGGGAACTCAGAGCTGCTAGAACAAATGCCCGGGCTGAAACGGCCATTCTCGGGAACCACGTGCTGTTATTGTTGGTGCTTGGGCTACCACGCTATTTTAAGATACTTGGAGTCTTTCTGAAAAGTCAAGAGCGTCTCAGGCCCGGCACATTCGTTTCTCAGTCCGCGCTCAGCCCCGCTGGGACAGCAGGAGTGGCCACGGCCAGAGGGGCTGTCCGGGCCGGGCTTTTACCGGATCCATGGGTACTTCCTTTAGAGGGTTTTACAACAAATGTCTTTTAACATATCTGATCCTAAAGAGAGAACTAATGGAGAGGAGGGGAGTCAGGGGAGTCAGCGTTCCAGGCTCAGCCTGACTGACGAAGTTACTGATTGCCGGACACTGCCATTTTCATCCTGAAGCATCACCACCCACTGGTCTCCACTGATGCTCAGAGACGATTCGCTGAATAACGTCTGCACAAAACCTAGCCCAGCAGAATGGGGATTTGGAGGCAAACCCACAGGGGCTGAGTAATGGGATGGTCAGGTAGTGAGGCAGAGGCCTGAGAGATCAGGGTGAACTCACACATGGCCAATCACCTGAAACATCCCGTCATGTCCCCCTTCTCTTGTGAGGGAAGCACAAGGAGTCACTGTACATGCTGGAGACAAGCAGCACACAGGGGGGTGGTCAGGGGGAGGATGTGCTCACAATGAGTCAATGGAGGTGTTTGAGCTGAGCTGGGAGAGGAGAGGAGTCAAGATAATTCCTAACACATTTTCAAGGATCTGGGTCTTACTCAAGTCTGCACCCCTGGGTCGGCTGAGACTGGCATGTGGTGTGTGATGCTGCTTGTTTATTGAATAGTATCCAATGGAAAGTCATAAAACATGTAAAGATATAACACGGCTTTCTTTGTTAAAGGAACTTTGATAATATCCATAGAAACTAGATCACTGTATCTAAAACTTCTCAATCCTTGCAGTACTTCTCTCTCTCTCTCTCTCTCTCTCTCTCTCCCCCCCCCACCCTCTTCCTGTCCCTCTTCCTCTCCCTTGAACAAAAGGAGGCTAAATTCAGAGCAAATGTTAAGAGCAGTAGTTTTCAGTTAGAAATAAAAGCCATGGAACCCTTTTCTCGAACTAATTTTCCCAGAACCCCTTTTAGATAAAAGTACAGCTATTGTGGTTCACTTGGTGGTGGTGGTGGTGAGACTGAAGGACCTCAGCCCCTATATAGCCCATGAGGTACCGGGTTCCAGAGAACGCCATCTGAAAGCTGTTCTGACAGCCGCTCTCACCCAGGGACAGGGGTTTTTTAAGTAAGCTCCTCTTGCCGAAACTGGTTTGGCTCAGTGGTAGAGCGTTGGTCTGCGGACTGAAAGGTCCCAGGTTCGATTCCGGGCAAGGGCATGTACATTGGTTGTGGGCACATCCCCGGTGGGGGGTGTGCAAGAGGCAGCTGGTCAATGTTTCTCTCTCATTGACGTTTCTAGCTCTCTATCTCTCTCCCTTCCTCTCTGTAAAAAATCAATAATATATATATATATATATATATATATATATATATATATATATATAAAAAGAAAGAATACTCATTAAAAATAAATAAATAAAATAAAAAATAAAGTAAGCCGAAACCGGTTTGGCTCAGTGGATAGAGCGTTGGCCTGCGGACTGAAGGATCCCAGGTTCGATTCCGGTCAAGGGCATGTACCTTGGTTGCGGGCACACCCCCAGTGGGGGGTGTGCAAGAGGCAGCTGATCGATGACTCTCTCTCATAGATGTTTCTAGCTCTCTATCTCTCTCCCTTCCTCTCTGTACAAAATCAATTATATATATATATATGAAAGAATACTCATTAAAAAATAAATAAATAAAATAAAAAATAAAGTAAGCTCCTCTTCAAAAACCTGCGAGGGCTGCGCTCATTCCTGCCACCCCCCGGGAGCCTGTCTGGGAGGGAGGACCATGAGCAACCAGCGCAGGGAAGAGACATAAAGGAGGACAAAACAACTGGGATTGGAACAAACAGGTCTCCTGCCTGACATGGACTCAGAGCCTGAAGTCCCTAGCAGCCCATGGAAACCTCGAGTGAGCTTTTTTGGCCTCAAAGGGTCAGAAAAATCTGACCCAGGAAATAAATATAGCAGGTAAAACAACAGAAAAAGGTAAATAAACCAGTTGGAGCTATTTCCTTCCTTCCTCCTCCACACTCCAAAGGCCTAACCATGCCTCCCGTCTGCACTCCGGCACAATGCACCGCACTGTGGTCGGGGACCAGCAGCGGCCCCGGAAGCCTGGTAGCCATGACGCTCCTGGTTCCACCCACACCCATCGAATCAGAAAGTCTGCTCTCCAAGGGATTCTGAAGAATACTTTAGTTTGGGAAGCCCTGTCAGTTATTTATCTTACTTTTCTTATTGTAGTATTAGCTGATTGAGCACAAACTATGATACATTTGCTTTCAAAAAGCTTAGTTTAGTACCTGTTGAATAAATAAATAGAACACTGCAGGAGAGTAAATGCAAAGGAAAGCAATAATCCTGGACTTGTTTTGTGAGAGAAGCGAGCTGGAGGGAGAAAACAGACCCAGCCGTGCACTCCTTGCTGGGCTCAGAGCCACTGTGACAGCAGCAGAGGACACTGAGGCAGCCTGCAGGGTCTGGACTGCACCTCCAGGAAAGCAGCCCTCTTGGACAGCTACAGTTCAGTATGAGGCTGAGGACTCTGAAGGCCCATTCCTCCCCTCTGATGAAAGAGGATAGTAAGCTGAATGAGCTTTTTGCACTTGTACATTCTTTTTGGTTGCTCAATGTGGTCTTGAGAAAATTCTAATGTTTGGACACAGGTTTTTCACAGCAGGAGCCCGTCAGGTGGGTACCCAACAGAAGGAGCAGTGGAGCAACCTAGCTTCCTGGGAGCAACCTAGCAGGGTTCAACCTTCCTCACTCACTGTCCATCCTGCTCAAACTTGACAAAATGGGGAGGCTGCTCTGGATGCTGTGGTTCGATTTGGATGAAGTGTTATCCCACACACCTAAAGATTGCAGGTTCGATTCCTGGTCCAGGGCACGTATAAGAGGCAATG